CAACACTCATGCCAATATTCACCTCTATACGGTATATATATATATATATATATTTGGGGTGTAAATCACATCCATCATGGCGATTCGATTCAGTATCAATTTCCTGACCCGACAATTCGATTATTTCCAATAATCAAGAATACACAACGATATGGTTTGATTATTTGGTTAATTCTAATATTTTTTTTTTTACGTTACAGTTGTAAAAAAAAGTTTCAAATTTGAAATAAATCAATGAAAGCTGTAATATCGTTATACATTTTATATGAGAAACAACAGAGAATAACAGAAGTAGCAAAGTTGTACCCCCCCAGGCCTATGAAAACCTCATTCACTGTAAAATAATAATGCCTCTGTTTTAGAGATTCTGAAAGGCCTTGCATCAAAAATACTGCAAGCGGAAAGAGGGTGGTGGCTAAAGGAAGCGAGGTGGGAGGGAAAATAGGTTTAGCGCCACCGCAGCACGGGAGGGAGAATTACGAGCAAATGGATAAAAATAGACCGGAGGGGAAAAAAGAATATGAATCGATACTCTTGCGGACGCGTCACTGCATTGGATCGTTGACTGTTGGATCAATGCAACAATATAAAACGATGATTATTTACACCCCTATTATATATATATATATATATATATATATATATATATATATATATATATATATATATATATATATATATATATATTTCTGAGAGCATTAAAGGAGCATTAAAAAGCATCAAATAGGAGTTAATCATTACTGTATAAACCCTGTAAAAGCTTTTACATTGCTTCAGTTTTACTGTCTGTACATTTGAGCTTCAAAGTTCTGCTCTAAAAGCTTTCAAAGCAGTTCAAAGGTGTAATGGTTTATACTTTTCCAGTTACTGAATAGTAGAAATCTTTGGTATAATCCATCTGTAGCAGATTTCTGTTCAGCCTTTTTACGGTGGGTTTCTTCCTAGTTTCTCTCAGTTTCCTCTTTCCTGGTCTCCCTCCAGTGTTGTTAAACCTCGAGCAGCCACCATGGAGGAGATGGCCATGTTCCACACAGACTCCTACCTGGAGCATCTGCACAAGATCAGCCAGGACGGAGACAACGACGACCCTCAGTCAGCCGACTTTGGCCTGGGTGGGCAATGAACTCACTACAACTCTAGATATATTTATATATTTTGTTTATAACGTGATATAGAACTGTATAATCAAGCGTGTTTCAACAATAAAAAATGTGGTTAATATGGTGCAGACTTAATGGCCACCAGGGGGCAGCATGAACCTGCTTGTTGGTTTTAATGGTGCAGCTTTAAGGCCCTATCTGCTGAGGTTTTCATTTCTAACTTTAGGCTGATCCTGAGGTTAACCCGCCTTGTTTTTGTTTCCCTGTCTCATTCTTTGTCTTTATCTGTCGCTCTCACTCCTTTCCTTCACTCTCATCCTCCCTCTGCTCTTTGTTCTCAGCTCTTCCCGCTGGAACTTCCTCCTTTTGTGTTGAGCTCATTCACCCCGAGTTCATCCCTCCAATCAGTTAGAAAAAAATGAATCTCCCTCTTATGGTTGAAAGATCTCCTGCTAGACTGTCTCTCCTTTTCTCTTTCAGTAGAATTACATGTTAGGAGTTTAATAAATTACTAAATCATCTTTTGTCTCCCTGCATCCTCCTCACCTCATTCCTGCCTCCTTTTATCTCCAGGCTATGATTGCCCCGTGGTGGAGGGCATATTCGACTATGCGGCGGCAGTAGGGGGCGCTACCCTAACAGCAGCAGAGTGTCTACTCAACCAAAAGTGTGATGTGGCCATTAACTGGGCTGGAGGCTGGCACCACGCTAAGAAGTAAGCTTAACATCTCATGCATGAGGACTAGAAA